AGAAAGACCAACTCCAGTTTTATCTGTTACATATTTCTGGTTTCTATTTAAGGTTTTATTTAAAAAAGGTATTCCACTGCTTAATTTATTTTTAATAATATCTTGATATCCCAACTCAATCTAACGATGAATATTAAGTGACTAATAATGAATAGTATCACATTAATATATATATAATCTGATACATATATATGTGTATGTATTCTGTGCACTTGTCAAATTTTGTGCTTCTTGGTTCACGCAATTATGGCTCCTTGATTTATTTTCCTTTCCCTTTAAGAGTAATTTCCTTTAAGTCAATACTAAATATATTGTGCATAATCAAGGGCTGTTCTCAGCCAAATAATAAAGTCTGCTCTATTAAACACAGAGTGCAGCAACTCTCCTCAATCTCAAAACTAGCCCTTCAGATTAGAAAAAAAGTTACTATTTTAAAAATCTATTAATCTGAAATCTACAAATATCTTGAAGATTAGTTTTACTGAACACACTTTATGGTGAAATATTAATATAAGTCCAAATGGAAAATGGTTCATTGGACAGAATACTGGAATTAAGAACCAGATTTGTAAGATGAACCCCTCTACTATCATCTCACAAATGACAAAGTACTTAAATACAGGAAACAAAATCTGTGGAATTAAGTTTTGGTAAATTCCAAACTAATCACCTCCTGATTAATTTTGAATAGTGACAAAGAACATTTAGATTGTTCTAAAAATGCTGAGAGGTGCCTGGGTGGCTCAGTTGGTTAAGTGTCTGACTCTTGGTTTCAGCTCAGGTCATGATCTCTGGCTCATGGGATCAAGCTGAGTCAGGCTCCATGCTCAGCCCAGATTCTGCTTGGTAATCTCTCCCTCTGCCTCTCCCCCACCCCTGCTCGCTCCCGCCCCACCCCACCATGTGTGCAGGCGCTCTAATAAATACATAAAATCTTAAAAAAAAAAAAAAATTTAACAAATAAAAATGCTGAGGTGCCTGGGTGGCTCAGTCGGTTGGGCATCCGACTCTTCGTTTGGGCTCAGGTCATGGTCTCACAGTTGCGGGATGGAGCCCCACTTCGGGATCTGCATTCAGCAGAGTGCACTGGAGATTATCTCCCTCTCCCTCTGCTCCTACCCCTGTTCGAGCACACACTCACTCGGCTCTCTCAAATAAATAAATAAAATCTTAAAAAAATAATGCTTAAATAACTAAGGGGTTATTCCTACATTTGTATTAAATTTCCCACTGCAGTCTAGTAATTTAACATTTCAAGAGAACAATTTAAAGAAAACATTAATTGCTTCAGTATTTGAGCAGCAAGGAAATTCAGAAAGGCATTCACCAAAATATTTCTGCAGAAGCCAGATTCCCGTCAGGGCAGTCCTTTAGAGCTACAAGGGTCACCAATGGCCCTTAAGAATGTCTTTAGTGGCTTTTTCCTGAGATCTCATATATCCTAAGAAAAATCTGTATACCAGGCTGTATCAGGTAGCAATCCACACTACAACAAGGATGCTACAACTTGAATACATTTTGCTAGGTGAGAAAAGCCAGACTCAAAAGGCCATATAATGTATGATTTCATTTACATAAAATATCTAGAATAGGCAAATCCATAGAGACATAAAGTAGATTTGTAGCTGCCATGGTCTGGAGGAAGAAGGAAATGAGAAGTGACTGCTAATGGGTATGAGGTTTCTCACAGGAATGATGAAATATTCTGAGATTAGACAGTGATGTGGCACAACTTTGTAAATATACTTAAACCCACTTAATTATATACTTCAGAAGAGTGAATTTTAGGTTGTGTGAATTGTATCTCAATAAAGCTGTTATAAAATTAAAAAGAACTTTAAAAAATCCTAGCACAAAAAGCGTATGATGTACTTCAAAGAAAAATAAAATTCATCTTTTAAAACTGGCCTAACATTTCACAATTCATAATCTAATAATTTCTATGGTTTATATTTTAAACAGTCAAATACATCAGATATCAAAAAAAAGGGAAAGCTTAACTCACCCTCTTTTCACTTTTGTGAAATCAAATGCAACTTGTCTGTATGAAACTGCTTTTTCATTAAGATATCTACTATACCGCCTAATAAATGTAGACATGTCATATCCTGTAAGAAAGAGAAAATGTTTTCACAAATTATTAAAATCCCAATTTGCTTAGAAAACCAACTCATTTCATCCAATGACCATAATATCTTGATATCCCAACTCAATCTAACGATGAATATTAAGTGACTAATAATGAATAGTATCACATTAAAATCTCTAAGACCTCACATGTTTTAAGTCAGGTATGTCATATGTGGCTTTGAAAAACCTCCCCCCCCCTTAGACTTTCACTAAAATAGTATTTCCATTTTACTTCTGATCAACATTCCTACCACAATTGGAAAACCATGTTCTCTTAAACACTATTTGATAACCTCATAACTCAAATTTAACATCCTATGGAACCATAAGCCCCTCTCCTCAAATCATTAAGCAATTTTATAATTTTCATACTTAAAACTTTCTCTAAGATATTCTTTCATCATATTCATGAGATTTGAAAACTTCAGCAACATAAGATCTAATCAATGTTTTTTAAAAAGCAACTTATATTTTAATTATTGCCTTGCTCAAGAAATCTATAAATTTTTGCTACTCATTAAAAAGCAGGTCCATCTTATTTTAGCTCATCTTTATCTAACAAATCTCACTTTTCTGAGATCTCTACAACTTTAAAAAGACAATACCAAAACAATAACAAAAATGTTAAGTGACTGGATTTAACATCATTACCAATTCATTTATTCAGCAAGTATTTCCTGAGTGCTTACTAAGTGCTGCTGGAGAAAAAACAATGAACAAAATAGAAAAAAAAATGACTGCCCTCATGTATTCTCATAACTTCTACTGTATTTTTTAAGGTGTTACATACTCACATTTCCTAGCTCTTTTAGTTTATATTGTTCCCTCTAATCAACTCTACTCCATCCTCCTGCTGGGAGAAATAACTACCATCCTTCAATCTCTGACACTTTCTCTGAACTCTGTGTGTTCCCACATTATTTCATGTTCAGTTCCTAGCTATTTGATGTACACAGTGTCTAACTCACTAGACTAGAGGCTTATTTATATTTATATACACCCAGTATAACATCCAGTGTGTATATATACCAGATTCCGCCCAACAAAATACACGTGCAATCAAAATTACTTGTCAAAACCATTGAATTACATTGCTTTTAATTATTTTCTGAGTTTTCTCTACAGAATAGGAGCTTCAAATAAAAGGCCTAAAAAATGTTCTCTAAATAAAAGGAGTAACAGTTCTAAAACCTTATTACGAGAAGGGCTTAATTTCCATCTTAAGAAAGGAGAAAATCAGTAGCTAATAAGACACCAAAAAAACCCCATTTGGACAAATGCATTATACTCTGCTTTTGAGTAGTGGTTTGCAAATTGTTTTCCACAGCCTCTTAACTTCAAATCAAGTGAATGAGGGGAAGCAGAAATAAAAATACAAGCAAACAGAGTTTCTTCCACATCCCCAAAGAAAGACCAACTCCAGTTTTATCTGTTACATATTTCTGGTTTCTATTTAAGGTTTTATTTAAAAAAGGTATTCCACTGCTTAATTTATTTTTAACTACTCAGAGCACTGCTCCTCTTATTAAAATCAATCTTGTAACACTTAGCCCTATGTATAGATTACCGGCCTTCCAAAATCTCTGGAAGATAGGGTATTTGATTCATTCTAGTTAATACTTCCATCTCCCAAAAGTGAACAAGTATTGAACTGGGCAGTCCCTGACCCAAACACTGCTAGTCACTAAATTCCACTGATGTTACCTCCACAAGAGATATAATTCAGGTCCTCGTTACCCTTCTACTAGATGACCAGAACAATGACCAAAACGGTCTTTTTTTTTGACCAAAACAGTCTTAATGTCTTTAAGACTTTAGCACTCTAACCCAACCTTTACTGAGCTACGGCACTTTCTTTATAAGACACACCCCCCCCCTTCTTCCTCAAATCAAAAAACTCTGATGGTTTCTCACTGCATTATAAAATCCCAACACTATAAAAATCTTCCATGTCTGATTTTGGCCCCAAACAGCTTCTTGAAGGTTATTTGCCACTACATGCTAGGCAATACGTCACCCGTAAATTCTATTCAGATTCATTTGCTCTCTAAATCTTAAATATTCCAACTCTTTCACATCTTTGTGATGCCTTTGCTTAAGTTAACCCATGTCCTCATCCATCTTTCAAAGCCCAGCACAAAATCTCCCCTTCTCCAAAGACATTTCCCAGATTGAGCCCTACTGTTGAATATTCCCAAGTCATTTGGTATGTCCTTTATTCCTACAGCTGGCCCTGTATAATATTAACAGCGTAGTTCTGGAACTAAGTACAACAGATCCCAGTAAGACAGAACGTGCATGGAGCACTACAACAGAGTATAGCAATCTCAAGTTATGGAATTAGAAGTAAAATAAATGAAATAACAGGTGTGAGCATCAGTGAGCAATTCATCTGAATAACACACCATACTTACCTTTGCTACTAAAATATATAGTATTTCCAGCTACATTTCTCAGAATAAAGCATAAAATAATAATAATAACAATGAAAGCTCATACTTACACAGTGTCTCCTGTATGCCAGGCATTGTTGTAAGCACTTTACATTTATCAATTAGGTTAAGCCTCATAACAACCCTATAGGGTAGGTGCTATCGTTATTCCTGACTTTATAGATGCAGAGAGGTGAAGTAACTTGCTCAAGTTCATGCAGCTGGTAAGTGATAGAGATGGGACTCATGGTAAGTGGTAGAGATGGGACTGAAACCCAGGCAATTCAATTCCAGAATCCATGCTCTGAAACCACTATCTTAACAGAGTTCTAGGTGTCAAGTACTAAAGTCAATTATAATCTTCACATTAAAAGACAAATTTTTTCTTCCCCACACCTTTTACTAAATATGTGGTTCTTCCACAGCTAAAAGACAGAGTTCAACTCTGCAGTAATTATCATACAAGGTTGATTTTCTATAATGAGTAAGTTGTCTTTACCTTGCAATCCACTTTTATCCAAAAAATTGCTTAAGTTAAACAACGTGTTTCTTGAAGCCAAATACTGAATAAAACGCTGGAAAACAAACAAATAATTATGTCAAATTAAGGTAATGCCATCTAACAAACTCTAATTTGAGAATGGGGAGGGGGTGTGTTTAACACATTCCGTTAAGCTTATCTAGCTTAAACTTCTCATCCTCAGTCCTACTAATTAGTTACCAAACCTAAAAACATAATCCATATATTTCATCAGCACAAAGGAATTTATTAAAGCCTAATGCCCATGGCTTTGGTATAAGCATCAAAATAAAAGGAAACAGGCACTTTTACCCTGGAACCAGCAATTTTGGCTTTACTACAGCATATTATGGCTATAGTTAATCACACTAAAGTGGCATCTTTAAACAGCTACCTGGTGACCCAAATTTTTATGACATTTTTAAAAATGAAATACTTGTAATCATACAAGAGAATAATATTATAGATATCCCCTTACCCCCATCCAGATTAAACACACTGCCATATTTACTTTAATCTTCTTACAGAAACAAAACATTAAAGAGTCTACTGAAACACACCTTCCATCTCATTTCCTTCCCTCTTCAAAGTCAATCACTTTTCTAAAGTAGCTATCATTCCCACACATATTTTTACAATTTTTCTATATATTTAACCTATAAACTGTACAAATTTTGTTTTCTCTTTTAAATTTACAAAAAAATCATACTGTACTTCTTTTCCAATATGCTTAACAACTTTTCCCCAAGAATTATCCCTTTAATCTATGTAAATCTAGCTCATTCATTTAAAATTATGTTCTAATATTTCAATGATCTACTATATAATTATGTATCCATTTCTTCATGGATGTTTAAGTTCTTTCCAATTTCACTATCATTAACAATGTTTCATAGGCATCTTTGTACTCGGTATCCCTGTGCAAACATACAGGAGTTTATCATGATATAAACAGGGTAGAATTGTTGGATCAGCATGTATGTAAAGGTCATCTCAAAATACCGTCAAAATTCTCTCCAAAGTGCTTACCATAGAACACTACTTTCATTTCCCTTTATATACACCCTCTAAAATAGAGAGCTAATTCCTTTCAATTTCACGTCTCCTTAGGATTTCTTTTTTTTTTTTACCATGTGCAGAGGGTTACTATCAATTAGGGTGCACACCATCACTCCCTTAACTCAATCTTGTTCATCTGCATTCACCCCAAACTAACAAACCAGGATTTTGAAAAACAATTTATAAATTGAAGATTCACATTTCATCACTTATCCTAAAATGACTGGTTTCAAAAAGGTGTTAAAATATCCTAAGACAAGAGGTGCCTGGGTGGGGGCGCCTCGGTGGCTCAGATGGTTGAGCGTCTGCCTTTGGCTCAGGTCGTGATCCCAGGATCCTGGGATCGGGTCCCGCATCGGGCTCCCTGCTCTACGGGGAGCCTTCTTCTCCCTCTGCCTCTCTCTCTCTCTCTCTCTGTCTCTCATGAATAAATAAATAAAATCTTTAAAAAAAAAAAAAAAAGAGGTGCCTGGGTGGCCAGTTAGTTAAGTGTCTGCCTTCGGCTCAGGTCATGATCCCAGGGACCTGGGATCGAGCCCCAAATAGGGCTCCCTGCTCAGCCGGGAGTCGGCCTCTCCCTCTGCCCTTCCCCCCTCAGGTAAATAAATAAAATCTTTAAAAAAATCCTAAGACAATATGAGACTCCATGATTTTCATAAGCTGTTGTAATTCTTTACTGTGGGAAGCCTGTCCTGTGCATTATTATATGTTTAGAAGCATCCCTGGCCTCTACCTAGGGGTGCCAAGAGCATCCCAATCATTTTTGACAAATGTCTGCTGGCAGGGGCAGGACAGGGGATCACTTTCCTCTCTGCCCTATGGTATTCTCATCACCACAGCATAGTAAGATCATATGCATACTTTCTTACAGACTAATAAACCTGCCAATGAGAAGAACATCACATTTGTCTTAGCTTAAGGGAAATGAACATGGGTTTATCTAAAAACCACACAGAAATGCTATCATCTTTCTCCTCCTGTCAGTAAGGAATGACAGTCAACTTTGTTTCTTTGCCTTGTCAAAGTTTTGCTTCTAGTATTATCACCTTATTTACAGTCTCTAAAAGCCACCACTAATAGTTTTCCTCTTTATCCGGCATTCTAATTGGTTATATTTGTGGTTTTTTCTTTTTAAAGAATAAACTAGGGGAGCCTGGGTGGCTCAGTTGGTTAAGTGACTGCCTTCAGCTCAGGTCATGATCCTGGAGTCCCAGGATCGACTCCCCACATCAGGCTCCCTGCTCAGCAGGGAGTCTGCTTCTTCCTCTGACCCCCCCGCCATGCTCTCTCTCTCAGTCTCTCTCTCTCAAATAAATAAAAATCTTAAAAAAAAAAACTATATATGTATCTTTTAAAAAGGTGAAAAATACCATAAACCTGAAATTTTTCAGAATGATCATGATCTTAAGTAAACATAGTCCCAATGAAAGCATAAACTATTACCCTAGTTAAGATCAAAATGCTTCAAGTTATAGTAAAGCTAATATCTAAATATTTCTATTAACTCTGTACACTGGTTACAATAAATTAGAAAGCAACTGAATAATATATGTCCTAAAAATGATCAAGTCTGTTAACTAAGCAATCATATTTCAGGTAACACTTCTGGAAATAACTTTTAAAACTTAAATACTACCGGGGCGCCTGGGTGGCTCAGTCGTTAAGTGTCTGCCTTCGGCTCACGTCATGATCCCAGGGTCCTGGAATCAAGCCCCACATCGGGCTCCCTGCTTGGCGGGAAGCCTGCTTCTCCCTCTCCCACTCCCTCTGCTTGTGTTCCCCTCTCTCGCTGTGTCTCTCTCAAAAAAAAAAATACAAATCTTAAAAAAAAAAAAAACAACTTAAATACTACCAATAAAATCATCCAATGTCGTGCTGCTCTAACAATGAATAATCAGAAAGCTAAATTTCTAGGAAAGGGAAAGTTAAAAAATTTTTTTTACTATTTTATTTATTTATTTGAGAGAGAGACAGTGAGAGAGAGCACAAGATGGGGGAAGGTCAGAGAGAGAAGCAGACTCCCCACTGAGCAGGGAGCCCGATGCGGGACTCGATCCCAGGACTCCAGGATCATGACCCGAGCCGAAGGCAGTCGCTTAACCAACTGAGCCACCCAGGTGCCCCAGGAAAGGGAAAGTTAAGAAAATTATGGATTATATAACCCATTAGGTTGTCATTAAAAATGATAAATATAAAAAATATAGAATATGGAAAAGCTTATGGTGTGATGGTATATAAAAAAGCTAAAAATAATATTTTATCTAAATTATGATTATAGCTATAAAAAAATCACTCCTAGACAAGGACCAGAAGGGAACACCAAAATGTACATACAGTAAGATCTGCTGCAATGAAAGGGTTATAGGTAAATTCTTGCTTTAATTCTGAATTTCAATGATGCTCTATTGGTATAGCAGTTTTATCACAGAGAAGCCCAAAATGAGTAAAGTGATGGATGTCAGAAAGTCATTATGCTCAGAAGTCTAATAGCATTAACTAAAGTCCCTTTCCATTTCTCCAGAAGCCATCTCTCAGCAACCAGTGGGCTGCATTTTTCTAAGGTGCATACTAAACGTACATTTATCTAGTTGCATTCAAATATACTTTTAACACAATTTTAAATGTTCCTTCTAACTCAACTTTGCAAGTAAGTATACTGGGCTGAGAAAATCATTTAAGGTAAGAACTAAAAATCAGCTGGCTAGGCTATCATGGAAAACAAGAAGATTCTCTCCAAACATTAAAATGCAAAAGCTTCTTTTTGTTAACCTTCTGCGCAGTGAAGACTTCAAAGAAGACTTTATAGACACACCTCTGCTTAAGAAGGCACTCTTTAATCAGTCCCTCTCAGCAAATGCCATTCTTAGTCCTCAATACAACAGCTTTCAACTAAGCAAAGTGGTTCCAGAGACAACTATATGAAATCAAGATAGAAATCTGAGCCATAATAAAGCAAAAGACAAACATATGGTCTATACACAAAGTCTACAAAGACCAGTGCTGCTTACAGAACTGACCTCTAGGCATTAATCTCTGCTTCTTGATCCCATTATTATTAAGTCCTCTGTGCTTTGACCCACTTTCTGCTTCCCAACTTACAGACCATCTTCTCAAACTGCAGAATCTACAATTTTATTTCTACCTAGTCACTTTGCCCTTTTAACCTGTATTATTTGGTTGTTGAAGCCATTCCTGAAATTTCAGTGGGAGAATCAAGCTGAATCATCAGTCATCACAGCAATATGCTTGTTAATTAAAAATTTGGCTTACCTCATTTCCATACACCATCAAATGATGAGTTGTAATGAGAGATTTGAAGACCACCACCCAACTACTGTTAGTAGTTCTTTCAAATAAACTGTCTGCCAACTGTGGGATGTTCACATTCATCTCATTTGTGCACTGAATTAAGTCTGCAATTAAAAAAAGAACAGATTTACTCTCTGGCTTTAATTTATTATTAATTTCAGATGTGCACACTGACAAGTGAAAAATCTAACAGCGGAGCAACAATAGATAATTTGGAGAAGTTATTAAAAATCTCTTAGGAGAACAACTGAGACCACTATAATCCACCTGAGAAGTTAATAGGATACTGATTAGGATCACATAAATGATCAATAACAGAAAGTAAACTTCCTCTGAAAGTAATTCACCCTCAAGGAATTTACCTCAAAAGGAACTATTTCAAAGCCTTGAAGAACTTTCAATTCTCTTATTACTCATAAACCTTCAGAACTACAGTGCTAGGATTATTCATCCCTACCATTCCAAAAAAAAAAAACTTAAAAAAAAATCATATATAGAAGCATGAACAAGCTGAAGGTCAAACTACCTTTATTAATATTCTCCCTAGAATGCTGTGTTTGCACTATTAAGAAAACAGAGCAGACATGTGGTCTGAGAGTGGGTAGAATCTCTGTTTGTTTATATAAATTTTCATTCTTCTCTCCCTTCAGTTTTACTGAGTTATCAGTTGGTATCAACTAGCTAAAACTAACAAACAGGAAACAAACTGAAGTTTCTTGTTGCATAAATTTTCAAGTAAGAAATGATCCAGAACTCTGAAAACAGTTAAAATAATGTAAGTTCCAATTTTGTATTTTAAGCAGGAGAGCATTACTATAAAATGGTCTAACATACAATTGTTTCAGCACCAAAACGGGGGAGGGAGGGGGGAGCAGCTCTTAAGAGACCTCAGAGTTTTACCTCCAATCTACTTAAGAGATGTCAAATTCAATGAAAAAAATACAAGATACAATCCAATTTAGAGAACAGAGAGGAAGACCAAGAAATGAGTTGTTTTACTTTTAATGTATAAAAATGTATAAATATCTCAGCTATAACTACCATAAGGGAAAGAAATTAAAGTTATTCATGACTCATAAGCAGTTTGCCTACTTCTAATCTTCAGCGTATAATGATTAAATAAAAATTGAAGTGACCTAACTTGGCCTTGATCACAAGAAACACCAATGCAACTACGACCATTTATCTGCTTACAATCTTTCAAAAATGTTTGTTCTAACAGGCTCAATTATTATACAAAGTAACATTGGATAAGCAAATGAATTTTAGATAAGCAGTTACCCTAGCCAACAATGCTTAAAGCCCAAAGCACAACACCATCAGAGTACCCTTGGAACAGGAGAATGATACAAGGCTTTCACAATTCATACTTGCAACAAAAATTAAATAGTACTTCCATTTTTTTTCAAGATTTTATTTATTTATTTGAGAGAGAGAATGAGAGAGAGCACGAGAGGGAAGAGGGTCAGAGGGAGAAGCAGACTCCCTGCCGAGCAGGGAGCCCGATGCGGGACTAGATCCCGGAACTCCAGGATCACGACCTGAGCCGAAGGCAGTCGCTTAACCAACTGAGCCACCCAGGCGCCCTAAATAGTACTTTCAATTTGGTGTGTATGGTTCAGTTTCTGATAATAAAAAGAACTTGATCTCTGCCTTCTCTGATTCTTCTTAAGTAGTACTTCATATCTGTCCTACAGCACTAAATATATTATGTACACCTTATTCCCAAAGCTAAGCTTTCTCTCTGCCCCTCAAAAAGTAATGAGGGCAAGGTTATTTGTCTTGCTCCTTTTGAATCCTTTAAAACTTCAAACACACTGGTCAAGTTCTGAACTCAATTATAAGAAGTTATATTCTTAGTTTTTTTTCTCTATCTTGATATATCTACATTTTTCTATATCCTTCCAGAAATTTTGATAAGCTATTCAATTCTTAAAGTTACTTCTCCTTGGTGGCATCAAGTCATTTTACACTCCTCAGAATCTTATTTTTTTTTTTTTTAGTTTTCAAAACTGAACCTGTCATAAAATTTCTTGTCACCGTATTACCCCAAAGGTGCTCCTACCTCTCTGTATTCATATTCACTCCCTGGAACCCATCAGTAACCAAGTCTCCTAAATCTCCAGCAATTCTACCTATTCCTCTCCATCCCACTATCATTGCCAAAGCCAGAGTTTAAATTCTATTTTTTTTAAATTTTTTTATAAGATTTTATTTATTTGAGAGAGAGAGCATAAGCAGGTAGAGGGAGAGGGAGAAGCAGGCTCCCCGCTGAACAGAGAGCAGGACATGGGGTCAATCCCAGGACCCTGAGATCAGGACCTGAGCTGAAGGCAGCCGCTTAACTGACTGAGCCACCCGGGTGCCCCTAAATTCTATTTATTAACTAGGGGGTGCCACCTCTCCTGGAAGTATTCAGAAATTGGGGAGGGAGATTAACACACAGAGATTTTACTGACATTTAATACCAAGGATGAGGAAGATAAATTGTCCTGCAAAGTACACAATCGGCACTTCACATTTTAAAACTGTTCCACCCACTGGGGCGCCTGGCTGGCTCAGTTGAATGAGCATGTGACTCTTGATCTCAGGGTTGTGAGTTCAAGCCCCACATTGGGTATAGAGCCTACTTTAAATTAATAAATGAATAAAAACAAACAAACCTGCTCCACCCAAAATTGTCCCCACAAAGAAATGATGGACCAACTGACTGCTTCTTATCTGATGATACCTGATTTGGGGTCTCACCCACCTCACACCCCCCTTCTCTGAACTGACCACAGAATGATCTACAACACAACACTTTCACTGCTTAACCTCAATGACATCCCTACTACTTACAGGATGGCATACATTTCATCCTTGTCAATATTCTCCCTTCTCAAATCTTAGCTTCCAATACAAAACCACTTTCCAGTTTTCCATGATGTACCTTGCTGTTTCACCCCTGCATCTTTACATTCTTGCTCATTCTTCAAAATGAATCAAGTCTTCCCTTCACATACTAAGGTACCCCCCAGTCACTAAAGCTAGCACATAATTCTACATAATAGAATTATTCTACATTGTAATTATTTACTTCCAAATCATTACCTTCTAGTTTCAGAGACCTTAAAAGGAGACTGCATTTTTGTTAGCAATTTCCATACTCTTCATCACAAATAAACTGCTCGATTAGTCAGAAATCTGACTTAAGATTTAAGTCAGATCTTAAATGAAGCAAAAGGTACAGATGGTAGTTTCAACAACTACAGGATTTTATATATAATATTAGAATATATATATTTACCAATGCTATATATAAACCCTTTGTGATCAGCTCTCTCTGTATCACTTTGCTTGTTACACGGATGTCTCCTCTGCAATGCCTCCCACAGACCAGGAACTCTTACCTCAGGTGCTTAGCACTTGCTGCTGTTCCTTCTGCCAAAATACTCTTCTAGATATCTACACTTTTTGCTCCCACACTTTATTCTTACAGATCTTTGCTCAAATGTCACCTTATCAGATGAACTCTTCCAAATAATTATAAAAATAACAAAGCCTCAGGGCATTCTCTACCTCCAAACCCTCACTATCCATCCTTACTCACTTTGTCTGCAGAGCATTTACCACCTAACTCATCTTAATCTATTTAATATTTTCCTCTCTCAATTAAAATGTAAGTTCCACGTGGGTAAGGCTCTGTTTTGTTCTCTACTGTATCCCCAAAGGCCCAGAATAGTGCCTTGTGTACAGTGGTCACTCATACTTTTTTAATAAATACATTCATTTAAATAAGCATATAGACAGTCCTAGCATGACTTTTTAAATAAGCATCCAAAATAGTATTTTTTTACATAGACTAAAACCAACAATCGATGACTATTTGCACAATCTGCTATTGCCAAAGGAATAAAAAACAAACCTGAGCCCATTACATGTGAAAATTTTCAAATTTCAGGTTGGAGAGGATCTAACAAATAAGAGTTTTTATTATAATGCTTATGAAAACTACAGTATACTTTAGAGATGATCACATAAAAACTGAAGGTAACTCCAGAAACTAAAATACACAACACTTCACATTAAACAGGAAGAAGAAATAAGAATTCATGCCGAGGGGTGCCTGGGTGGCTCAGTCGTTAAGCGTCTGCCTTTGGCTCAGGTCATGATCCCAGGGTCCTGAGATGGAGCCCCGCACTGGGCTCCCTGCTCCGTGGGAAGCCTGCTTCTCCCTCTCCCACTCCCCCTGCTCGTATTCCCTCTCTCGCTGTGTCTCTGTCAAATAAGTAAAATCTTTAAAAAAAAAAAAAATTCATGTTGAGATTATGAATCCAGAGTAGACCAAATACAAAACCAAAGTTATACAAACACTCCTGGGAGAAGAAACACTGAATCGTTACACCAACTCTACAGAATATACTTCCCCTATAGTATTTTAACTTAAGCAGTTCTCTAGGCAGTAATTTTTCGTCTCTACTACAATAGCTTGAAAATGCTTCCAAGTCTGAGCTCCAACAAACGTGGAAGGAAAATGTTATCCCACCTCCAAATCATTCCAAACAAGAATCACACATATCATGGGAATCTTGATAGCTACTGCTTTTCCCATTCTCGATTCAGAAGACTTCAGTTCTTAAAAACCACAAACTTGACATGAAATTTCCCTTACCAATCAAAAGCGTTCTAAATGGAAACACATCTTATATTTTCTTTTATTTACCTTAAGAATATAAAAACTGAAATACCTTCTTGATATTACATTATTAATAATTCCTAAACCCCACACTAAAAAAAATTACTACATGGGATATAGGCTCTTTGCGTTAGGTATAGATGAGAATTTATGAGGTTTCTAGTACTTAAAGGCAGGAAGAAAATAGGCCTACAACAGAAACCTAAAAGCATCTTTCCAGAGACAGTGGAAGGAACCAATCCCTACTATACAAAATACTCTCACTTTTATTATCTAATATGCCCCTCCAACAATGTCTGAGGTAGATAAAGTAGACATTACCCGTATTATCACAAATTAGACTTTCCGAAAGGTCAGGTCACAGAAACTCACCACTATAGTAATGACAGATTCATGAACAGAATTAAATTTTTGTAAAAGGTAAGG